GGGCCGTTAAACGGGGACCCATGATCTTTGCCTGGCGCTGCCTGCAAGCACCCGCGCCAGCCCCACACCTCGTCCCGAGAGAGGCAGCGCGATCGGTTACCTTCGAGACTCCCACTGTTGTTCGTAACTTCAGACACCATTTGCTCTTTATAAAATTAAAAAAAAAGAGATTAATTTTTCCTCATGTAACAAACTTTAAAGGCTCTCTACTTCCAGACGCCCCGTTTCTCACATTGAAACCGCTACAGCTCCGCTGAGCGCTGCACAGAGCAGGCAGCCCACGGGCACAGCAGACAATTTCTGGGGCAAACCCCAAGTCCCGTCACTGCTGGAGACGTTCGAGGCAGAGCTCAGAGCAGCAACACCCTGGTCGGTCACTCCCCAGCTGAGCAGTTAACAGAGCCCAGCTTGCGGCACCACGTCTGGCAGCTGCGTTCGCTGCTGTCTCCTAAGGCACGAGTGAGCAACACGAGACCACAAAAGCCTCTGCCTTTGGAAACCAAGCTCATGGCTGGCAGGAAGAACCAAGCCCCTTCCCAGAGAGGTTTCCCGGTGCTTTTCAAGACCCACAGCCCAGCCCACGCCGCTCCCCAGCTCCCGCTGCCAGTTACCTCGGGTCTGGTCCTCCTCCACCCGCTGCTCCTTGCTGTTGTTGCAGAGGTTGGTCTTCAGCCTCTTGGTGGGGGGGTACTGCTCGAGGGAGAGCACCTTCTCCAGCCCGTTCCCCAGGGCCCCGTTCTCTGCAAGGCACAGGTGGCTCCCTGGGGACCAGCCTCGGGCCCCGGGAGCTCTGCAGACACCGGGGGACATCTCCCACCGAGCGCTGCCAGGTCCCACCCCAGCCAAAGCAGAGCCCTCCCGACCACCCGGGCTCCCCGGGCACGGCTCGAGGCTCAGTGGCTCCAGGAGCAATGGCTCCGGGGGTGCTTTACTCCGGCGTTTTGCAGTGCTGCTGTGGGGGACCAGGGAGGAGCTCCCCGGGACGGGGCGGGCACGGCCGT